TTAATTATATCTATCTCTACAAAAATATAAGATTTAAGACACTTACTCTGTCAAGTTCTCCTCAGTGGCCTCAGGACCAACACACTCAATTAATATCTATTAAATGCAAGAAAAACTTCCCTGACACTGACATCCTTAAGCATCTCTATTGTTGCTAACTTGTTTATGATGTTCTATTAAATATAAATATCTCACAAAACACCAACATCAGACACAGTCATTTTGTAAAAAGTGAAACAAACAAGATCAGTTATCATTTTCCATAAAACAAATAAAAATAAATTCTGAATCCACTATTCTGAAGTGGGAGGCTGATTCATGGTGGCCACCCTTTGGGTTCCATAAGCTACAAGTATTTTAATGGAGAAAATAACCTCATCTTTCTCTCTTGGAATTGCTGGTAAATCCAAACCATCAACCTCTTGGTTAGTGGACCAAGACACACTCACAGACGGGGACACAGACACTGAATCTATTGGTTACTTCTGTAAGAGGGGAGAGTACTTCATTTGATTTTTTTTTCTGGTAAAACGCTTATCTGTCAGATATTGTCCTAAAGCTGATCATCCAAATTAAGACAGATTAGGAAGAAGGACTGGCCCACCCACTTCCTAAATAACAGGACTTCAGAAACCCTATATACAAAAGAGAAAAACACTTAAGTGGATGAACAGATATGGCACCTGAGGCTGAGCCTTCATAGTGGGAAACACAATTAAGGAGGAACAGTTATAAGCAGACACTAATGATTGGAACATGGAATATAAGAAGCATGAATGTAGCAAAATTGGACATTGTTAAGAAAGAAATGGAAAATGTAAGTATTGATATACTAGGTATTGGCAAAATGAGATGGATCAGCCTGGGATATTTTGAATCAGACAATCTAATTATCCACTATGGAGAAGCACATCATGCTCGGAAGGATAGAGGGACAGTGCGGGAAAGGAAGACCTTAGATGAAATGGATTGATACAGTAACTGGAGTAATGGGGGTTGATGTGTCAGAATTAGTCCGAATGGCTCAAGACAGGGAAGTTCAGAGCTACTGTACATAGGGTTCCTATAGGTAACGGCAAATAATGACAACTATGCTGGAGATGAAAAGGTGAGGAAAACCAGGGTCACATTTATAGTTAAAAAGGTGATTTCTAGATCCAACTTGATATATAATGTTGTGAGTGGCAGGATAATATCCATTTACATATAAGAAGCCTAGTTAATACCACTATCATTCAAATATATGCACGAACAGCAAAAGCCAAAGAGGCAGAAATAGATGGTTTGAAGTTGGAAATTAATCAAAATGCAACCAAAAAAACATTAATAATAATGAGTCACTGGAACGCAAAGATTGGGAGCGGGAAGGAAGGATCAATAGTCAGAAAGCATGAATTTGGTGACAGAAATGAGGCTGGAAATAGAATGACAGAATTTTATACAATCAATGATTCATTCATTGCAAATACATTTTACAAGAAACAAACAGCAATTATACACATGGATTTCATGGAATAGTACACACAGAAATCAGATCAATGACATCTATGGTAAGAATTGCTGGAGAATCATTTGTTTCTACATTAGCTGTGAAAACTAGGCCAGGTGCTAATTGTGGAACACACCATCAACTACTCATGCAAGTTCCAACTAAAGCTAAAGAAAATAAAATCACAGCCACAGGAACCAAAATTTTACATTGAGTGTATCTTACCTGAATCTAAAAATCACCTCAGGAACAGGTTTCAGGCCTTGAACACTAATTAATGAAGACCAGATGAGCTTTGGAAGCATATCAAGAATATCATTCATGAAGAAAGCAATATATCATTGCAAAGACAGAGGAGGAAGAAAAGACCAAAATGGATGTCAGTAGAAACTCTGAATACTGCCTAGAGTAGAAGCCAAATCAAAGGGAAGAAATCAGGAAAGCAAAGAGTTAAGTGGAAGGCTTCAAAAGGCAGCTTGGGAAGACAAAGCAAAGTATTAATAACGAAACGTGCAAAGAGCTGGAGTCAGAAAATCAAAAGTGATGAACTCAGTCAGCATTTCGTAAGTTGAAAGAATTGAAGAACACATTCAAGCCTTGAGTTGTAATATTTAAGGATGCTATATTCAGAATAATGAATGCTCCAGGAAGCATTAAAGATGGAAGGAGTACACAGAGTCACTGTACCAAAAGAAATTGGATGACACAGAAAAATTTCATGAAACAACATATGATCAAGAGACAATGGTGATGAAAGAGGAAGTTCAAACTGCTTTGAATGAATTGGCAAAAAACAAGATCCCAGGAGTTGATGGAATACCAACTGACATATTTCAACAGACAGATGCTACCCCGGAAGTATTCACCAAGTTGTACCATGAAATCTGGAGGAAGACTTCTGGCCAAATGACTGGAAGAGATCCATATTTTTTCCCATTCCAAAAAAAGGGTAACACAACAGATTGTGACAATTATTGAACAATTATTATCACTGGTATCCCAAGCAAGCAAAATCCTACTGGAAATAATCCAGAAATGCCTGGGACAGCACATTCACAGAGAACTACCAGAAATGCATACTGGGTTTAGAGAGGCTGTGATACCAGAGAAATTATTGCTAACATCATCTGGATCTTGACTGAAACCAGAGGAATGTCTATCTGTGTGCCATTGACTATGCAAAGACATTTGACTATGGATCACAACAAATTGTGGCTTATCTTCAGAAGAATTGGGAATCCCAGAACATCTGACTGTGCTCATGCATAACCTATACTTAGACCAAGAAGCAATCATCAGAACAGAGCAAGGAAACACTGCATGGTTCAAAATTAGGAAAGGAATGTGTCAGGATGCATCCTGTCTTTATAAGTTTTCAGTATATATGTAGAACAGGTCATTTGGGAGTCTGGACTTTATATAAGGAGGAATGGGTATCAGTGTGGGAGAATGTTGGGGAAGAAGGAAGGGCCCTGGCCAGGACAGATTGCTTAAGCTCTGGATAAATGCAAGCCTCCCAACAGCCTCTAATACGGGGTAGAGAAAATTCCCCTATGTTTGGCTGTACTTGCTTGAGAAAGTTCGCCACCTGGGAAGGCAGCTGAAACATCTGTTGAGCTGGGAGTGGTCTGCACGAGGCTGAGGTTCTCCTAACCAATCTGCATGTCCCATGTCTGTAAGCCTACCCTATCCTGTCTTCCTGTTTACTTGCTGGTATATAAGTGCACTGTAGCCTCCAATAAAATTGATCTGGATTGGCTCTCTGATCCTCTCTTGAGTGGTGTATCTCCATCGTGCTTACCCCCATCAGGGTGTTGCTGTTAAGTTGTTGGTGAATAGACAGCGACACATTAGGAATAGAGGAAGACTCATCACCAACCTGCATTATGCAGATGACCCGACCTTGCTCACCGAAACTGAGGAGGGCCTGAAGCATTTGCTGCAAGAAGATCAAGGACTGCAGTCTTCAATATGGATTAAAGCTCAACATCGAGAAAACAAAGATTCTCACCACAGGACAAGTTGGAAACACCATGATAGATGGAGAAAAGACTGAAGTTGTTAACCATTTTAGCTTGCTCAGATCCACAATCAACACATTGCACCAGCAGTCAAGAAATCAAAGAATAATTGCTCTGGGGAAAGCTGCTGTCAGCTACCTCTCCAAAGAGTAATGATGTCAGTCTGGAGACTAACATGCACCTGATTCAGACTGTGGTCTTCACAATTACTTGCTATGCATCAGAGAGTTGCTCAGTGACTAGAGCTTACAGAAGAATTGATGCCTTTGAGTTGTGGCGCTGGAGAAAAGTGTTGAACATGCTGTGGACTGCCAAGAGAATAAACAGGTTTATCCTAAAGGGAGTGAAACTAGGGTTCTCCTTGCAGATAAGGATTTTGAAGCTCCATCTCACATACTTTGGGCATGTGGCCAGAAGGGCCCTGTCCTTGGACAGGGTCATCATGCTTGGAGGGGTGGAGGGACAACCCAAGAAAAAAAGACCCTGGATGAGACGGATTGACACAGTAACTCAGCTTATGGGGCTGGGTTTGTTGAAGACAGTGAGATTGGCTTAGGATGGGGCAAAGTTCAGAGCATTTTTTGCATTAGGCTGCTATGAGTCACAGGGGACTTGATGACACATTGCAACAACAAGATAACCTAACCAAGCACCCCTCAAAGCAATTCTGACTGATAGTGATCCCAGGTGTGTCACAGTAGAACTAGACTCTAAAGGCTTGGTAGTGGTTCAGATCTTTTGGTAATAGAGCATAGGTCTTTCTTCCAAAGAATGTCTGAGGGGTGGGGGGATTTCAACTGCCAACTCTTAGGTTAGTAGTCTAGTTCTTAACTGTGCTACCTTAGCACACAAACCTTAGCACACTCTGTTTGTACTTTCTGGAAGGAAGTTACTGTGCAAACTACAAAAATATCAACCTAGTCTCTTTCCTAAAATAATATACCCATACTTGATCAATGGTAATTTTTGTCTTACACTTCTCCTGTTTCTTTCTATATTAGATGTGTTATGATACCCAATCTTAGACTTACTCCAACTTCTTGATACCATGCAGTTCAGAGCGAACTATTCCTTCTTTTAAACCTCTTCAAACCACATTAACACAAACCCACACAAATCTTAGGAGAATTCATTTTTAACAACCTGTTACTGAGATAATCCATGGTTCTTCGTGGTGTGTGTCCTCCTTCATTATAAAAATTCTCTGACTACAGATTGCCCCTTGGAGGCAAGGATTGTGAAGAGCTGTCTCACACATATGCATGTTGCCAGGAGGGGCCAGTCCTTGGAGAAGGACATCATGCTTGAAAGGATAAAGGGTCAGCACAGACGAAGACGACTCTGGATTGACTGTGGCAATGGGGTCAGGTGTATCACTGACGGTCAGGATAGGAAAAGGTTCAGAGGTTCGTTCTGAGTCGACTAGATGACCCATAACAACTCAAGTATCTACTAGCTTTCCAAACGTTTTAAACTGTTTGTTCCTCTAGGTCTGGTTCAACCCAGTCAGAGGCACGCATCCAATCCAAGTCCTCGGTCTAAACCTCATACCCAATCCCCAATCAGATTCATGTCCCGCCCCATCGCACTGCACTCGGTCTTTACCCGCCTTCAGCGTGTCCCTCCCTCAATTTTCTCCCGGCTCTCGGCTACCTCTAGTCGCTGCCGCCAATCGGCGCTGTGAGTTCAGGCCGCACAGCCAATCCTGAGCCTCATCGAGCCCCACCTCCGTTGCCTCCCCTCACTGCCACCGCACTCCTCCCGCCTCTCCACCCTCTGGAGTGAAAGCTAAACAGTCCGTACAGCCGAAAGGAGACTGATCCGCGTCCCAGCGACTGCAGCGAGTCTGTCTGCTAGTGAGGTGAGAGAGACGCGAGGTGTGGCGTTCCCGTGCGAACTCACCTTTTCTGTCCGGACGGGAGGCGAGCCAACGCAGAAGGGGGTCCTCTTGCAAGGCAGAGGGGGATCGCGAGACCCTCGCATCTGGTGGGCCTGGGAAGAAGAACTGGGACTGAAGTTCCACCAGGACTCTGATGCCCCTTGCAAGCGGTGGGATGCAACCTGGAGCCTGGGTCTGGGGCACCGCGCCGGTAGGGGGTGGCTGCAGAGAATTAGCATTTCTGAAATTAATACTTTCCTCTTGAAAAGGACCCGGCTGTGCAATTTCTACATTTAGAAAGCTGTTTGAGAGGGTTGACATGAACTCCATTTCATCCATAGCCTGGGTTCTTAATAACAAAAGCTAGTAATGTGCTATATAAAAGAGTCTGCCTGAAATCCAAAACGTTAACATAGAAAAAGCAGGCCGCTCAGTTTCTGTGGATTCAGAACAGCTCTTGGAGTTCCAGATCCCAGCTAGTACTAGTGGAGCCTCAAAACACAGACCCCAGCCCCCGTCCCACCCACAGTCCCTCCCTCACCCTCACCCACCTTCACAGGTGAACTCGAGGCTGTTACTTGGGTTATTTCAGGTCACTTGCTCTCTCTCACACGCCGCCTAATTCCAGATCAACCATTAGCATTTTACTATTTGTTAAGTTAAAAACTTATTCTTGCTCATTTTCAACTAATCAGCGGTACTTCATCTGGGGAAAACTTAAACCTGAATTTTATTTCCGTGAAACAACTCTGCAGCAATTACAGGATAATGTCTCCAAAGGTTGTCCCTTTTTTTTTTTACCTATCTTGTTTTTCAAGTAACTTGACATTGAGACATGTGCTTTCCCAATCAATAACCTTTTCACCTCCTGTTGTTGTTATGTGCCGTCGAGTCGTTTCCGACTCATAGCGACCCTATGCATAAAAGCCCTAAACCCTGCTCTATCCTGCGCCAACCGTACTGCCTCTGACACACCCATCTCGATTACCCCAGTCACCGAATCAATCCATCTCATAGAGGGTCTTCCCCTCCTGCGCCGTCCCTCC